CCTGGGTCTCCCTCCAAACTTGGACCCAGGAAGGCAGCGCTTCAGCAGGACTCTGCTGCTCCATGTCCCAGCGGGTCACAGCCCAAAGACCCATGGAAGGAAGAGCAGGGTTGTCCGCACAAAGCCACCCACTCCTGGCCCTCCAGGCTGCTTCCTCCTTCTCCTCCTCCTCCAAGTCACTCCAGCGAAGGTCCGCCCAGGCATGTTTTGCCAACCCAGATGACATAATCTGGCAAAGGGCAGGCTGGGGAAGGAGAGCGAGGATTTTGGGATCAGGAAGATGGTTTGGGGCAAATGTCGAGGGCAGGCTGGTGCTACTCCTGGCCTTTGCTCTCTGGCACTGGGCTCTTGAGCAGCAGTGACCTTTGGATGTGGATAGAACAATCGCCGCCTCCTGCCTTGAGGACGATCAGCTCTAGGAGTCTCCAGAAACTCAGGCCATGGGCTCTTCTGGCCATTCTGGCATTTTGCAGAGGCTGGCGATCTAAAAACTGGGGAGAACGGAAAGAGCTAAGAAATGTTTTAGAAAGCATATTCTGTCCCCATTGGGAAAAGATGCTTCTTAGTGGGACCCAGAGCAACTGTACAAGGAAAATACTGGCCCACTCTTTCATCCTTGCCTTCTGCTCCGCAACCCTTAGAGGTGCAGTTACATAGCATATTGTGTGAACACTCTCACCAATGTGGACTAAAAGCCCCCGACCACTCCCTACATCAACATTACCAACACCAGACTCCAGCTGTTGACAGGTGACAGCGGGTTGAAGGCCTGGGACTTGCTGCTTGACGGAGGGAGCGGCCCCCTCCCCGAAGCCAGCCAGGAAGGCCGTTGACCCTCCTCCAGTGACACGCAAGACTCATTCTGGGAGGGTCTGAGGCCAACTGGGGAGCAGTCCCCATGGTGGTTTTACACTAAATATTAACTTGGGACCCCTGTGACGCAAGCTCTGACCCTATGAGCATTCTGTGCTGCCAAGAGGCTTCTGGACATCCAGGCCAGGAGGTGTGCTTCGGCCAGAGGCAGAGAACTGACTGTTCACTGGATCGATGCAATCGATAAGGGAGCAACCAGGTCAGGGAACAGCCTGGCCCAGTACTGCGCTCCAGCAGTCTTGCTTCTTGCCCCCGCCTTGCTGCTGCGTACCCCTCCCTTCCCCCTGGGGTTGGCTGGTGCAGAGCTCCAAACCCCTGGCTGTCCGTTCTCCTTCTCCCTGCTCACACGCCTAATCTCCAGTTCACGCAGGCTGTGGAATCCATCACCCCTGTTCCATGCCTGGCAAGGGAGCAGCCTCTTCCCAAGAAATCTGCCAGGGAAGATGCTTAGGATGCCCATATTTCCTTCCCGCCAAAGCTGATTGGCATGCTCCACACCGTTCCATAAAATTGTAGATCGGTGGAGATGGAAGGCACCCCAGGGATGTTCTTGTTCCA